AAGAACCTGAACAGAGGGTAGACACCTTATCCCCAGAATGATGTCCATCAAAAGGTCCCCAATGTAAGAAAACGTACCCAAATCAATGTGTGTGAGTGGTTGGGGGAACCAAGAGGGTCCAGGGCTCTTGACTTTTCCTAAGGGTCAAGAAGAGTCCCGAGATGGCATCCCCGTTTTGAGCAATCCTCAAGCAGGGCATTGAACCAGCCTCAAATTGTTTGTGTGTGTTGGGTATGTTGGACGTTGTGAGAAGGCAGATCCAAAGATGTGAGCCCCCCACAACTCCAGGATTCCCCATGGTTGACGAAATTGTGACCCCGCGTGATTCTGAAGAGGTTGGTTCACTTCAGGGAAGCTTTCCCTTAAACAGCGAGTTGCCCTGCATGGAACCTGGAGCTCCCCGCAAACAGAAGATGGAACCCGGTTTGGCCGCTTCGTGGAAGCTCACTGGGAGGGGAAAGAAAATTGGTCTTTCTGGGACCTAGCTGCATGGCAGAAGAGAGTGAATCCCAACCCGTGAAATGGAGTTTCTCATGCACTCTATTCATCGCCCCTTCTCTTGGCTCCTTGCGGGTGCGGCCGGAAGCCTGAGCGGTCTCAACAGAAGATTTGATGGGCGGCGTGGCCCGGCAGCTTCCCAGGGACGGCACATGCGGAGGATGAAACATCTAGCCGTAGGGTTTTTGGATTGGTGGCTTGGATTTGGACTTGAGCTGGACATTTTGTGGAGGGTACATGGGAAACCACCCCTAACCTCCAAACCACCAGGTTCCAAACCACCAATTAGGGGGAAGCTTGTCTTGCAAGTTGATGCTCAATCACCGTTTTCAAACAAACTAGCCAACGGTCCAGCACCTTTTTTCAGGGGCAACGTCTTCGCAGATGCCTCGGTGACTATTCCTGGCGACGAAAAATCGGGGTTGCATCTCAACTGTCACGCGCATCCCTGCGATTTAACATCTGGTCCCAGACTTGTCTAGAAGCTGCCATGTTTTTGTTGTTTTTTTCACCTCTGTCTTGAAAGGGGATAATTACGTTGATGGGGTTCCCGGCCCCCTGTACTCTTGTTCGTTGGCTTCCTTCAGGGCACTCGGCAGTCGACGCGCCTTAGCCACGGCACAGAGAGGCACGAGTCCCGTCCTGCACGTGGGCATTGCGGACAAGCGTACTCCTGGGCCTCCCGAAGAGCTTCTACTAACCTGGACCCCCCCCCAAAAAAGAGCTTGTAGTTCTAAGAGTATGGAAGGGAGCGTATCTGGCTACACCAAACAGAAATAAGAGGTCCCCACGACAATGATGAGGTCACAAACCCCTTTCAGGTCTTGCCATGAGTCATGATCAGGAAAGCCCTGATTGGGACATCTGGCAAATCAGACGGAAATGGACATCTTCGCAAACGTGTCAACTGCTGGCCCACTTTCGATCAGGTCCTGGAAAATGAGAGCCCCTTTTGATTGGAAGGAGAACCTGCCGCTCAAGAGGCGCAAATGGCGGACTTAAAAGAGTTGCACCTCACCGAAGCCCAGCTTGGCGGCGGAACAAGGGAGGAAACAAGAAAGCCGCTGAAAACAATCCACCGCAAAACAAAAACAGATAAAAAGACAAAAGAAACGCAAGCTGTGCGGCCTGAAAGGCAGCCTTTGATTGCACTGGCTCACAGCTTTCAAGAAGTTGGGTGTTTCCCTTTTTCAGGGGACACCAATCAACCAACCAACCAGCCAACCAACCAACCAACCAACCAACCAACCAGCCAGCCAACAAACCAACCAACCAACCACCCAACCAACCAGGCAGGATACTCGAACACAAAGCGCCCAACGGAAACCCACTGCTTTCGAGGGCAACCCCCAAGCTGCATGCCAGCCCCACCTCCACGACAACTTCTCGCGCTCTGGCTGCGAGCGCTCTGGTCGCCTGGTGCGACCAGAGGAGCCCTTGGCCATAGGTGTCCTTTTGATCGGTTAGTTTGGTTCATAGATGGGTTCCACTTGTTTAGATGGGGGTTCCACATTTGCCAGAGAAACCCATCTATTGTTCCAAAAGGCCACCTACCCCCAAACACTCCCCAAGCACCAAAATCGACCCCCAGAGTGCGGAACATGTCCAGCTGCACTCAACCTGTTCGTCCCTCAAATCTGCCACCTGATGCTCAGGTTCAATGCTTCGCGTCAGCTGTTGTCTGTGAATTCGCCGCGCTTGCAATGCGATGTGTATCCTCCCTGCAAGATTTGTGCAAATACGCAACAGGCCGAAACAGCTTGCATCAAATAAACTGCACACCCGATGTCCAGCACAAAATGCACACTACCCACGGCTGCACGCGGCACAGTTGGCACCTGCACCAGTACGCTACACAGTACCAATGCCCACCTGGAATTTCATACACAAGCCACAACTCAATAAATTTGCGGAATAGCACCCAAAACTGCACCCAACCAGCGTCTCAGTTTGCAGTCTTCACTAGAACTACCAGTACAAGTGCCTTCCATTCGGCCGTACGAGCACCTGGAAACCTCAAACACCCCTCTAGCACGTCACGGGACAGTTCTCAAGTTTCTTTTAAAGGGCCGCTGGCCAGCAAGTCAGCATCTCCCGGCAAGCGTTGCCTGGGCCGACTTGGTAGGGCGGCCAGGGTGGCACCTGCGCCAAGAATAGCTCAGCCTTGACTTTCAGAAAAGAGATTCGCAACAAACAGGCTTGAATGCAATTCCTGCAAAGGGAACTGCTGAGATCCCTGCTGTCCTAGTAGCTGACTCGCTGCATGCCATGAAGAAGCCCAACAGAAACAGGAAGAGGGCTGTAGGATAATCACATCCCGCAAAAAAACAACACACACACACACAAATACATTTCGGTGACAATATGTTCTGGAGCCGAAAGGAAATGAGACTTGACAATTGCTCATCATGCCTTCCACGGGGCAAGGCTGACATCTTTCTCAGGATCCCCTACATGTTTGCTTCAAATACTGCGGGGTAATTCGGCCAAAGCGTTTAGCGCCAAGCTTAAAGTGGCCCGGGGCAAAGCACGCCTGTGATCGGCATGAGAGCCGCCATTGGCGCTGGGCACAGGTAAGGCGCTGACAACTCAGAGGCCACAGCAAGCTGATTTAATGCGAGGACATGACATGCGACGGTTCACTATGAGAAAGCTCACCTGTACATTGCGTTGGCATTTTCTTGCGGGCCGCAAGAACAAAACGTGTTTGTCTGCGAACTTTGGTTTGCACTTCCAGCCTGCTTTTCAAGATGCAGAGTCACTCCTCATGTTCGACCAAAGTGCCAAATTCTGCACGCATGCCTTGAAAGCACCAACATGTCTGAGAGGCAACGCCTAAACACGTGCTTGCAGTCCCTAGTTCACTGCATAACAAAACCTGATGGGACGATTATGGCCTACGTGACAAATCAGGGGGCATCAATGCGGTTGACCCAAAGACCAAGCACCTGATAGAAGCTGCGAACCCGAATGCAAAAGACAGCCTTGGCAATGCGCAAAGCGCCAACTCGAGCAATGTTTTCCGGCTGGAGTTGTGTTTGAGCATTCTAGAGAAACGCCAACAATCCACGCAGGCGACGCAAACTGGGCGCTAGACAGGCAAGAGCGCATTTGTTACTGGTGTAATTATATTCGCATTTGTTGCTGGAAAACCACAAGGATGCAACGCAAAGTAGCGCTGGAAGCCAAGGTCAGCGGCGCTGAGGTGCAGTTTTCGAGCCTGCCGTCCAGGTTCTTGCGCGATGGGTTTTCGGCCTTGGTCAAAGCTCGTGAACGGCGTGAGACGGGTTGTTTCCCCGCCCGCGTGCTTGCGGGAGTCCCTTGACGCTGTTTGGAGACTCCGTGGAAGCCAGCCGGAGGTGGTGAGCGCAAGTGTTCGCAAGGAGACAGGGTCTGAAGTTGCAGTGCGACGCCAAAGACTTGGGAAAATTGAAGCGAAGCTGTGACTTGTCGCGCGCAGTTGGAATGTTCGGCCAGCGGGGGGGTAGCCCTCGCGGACGGCTCACAACAATTGCTACGCGTTCGAAGGAGAACTTTTTTCGCGATTGTTCTGACTGCGGAATGTTGGAGGGGGTGTCCTTAGTTGTCGTCGGCACGCTCCAGCAAACAGCTTTGCTTGACGGTTGCGCGTCTGCGGCAAGGCTTCAGCCAAGCCACTTGGGGCGTGCTGTAGAAGCAGCGAAATTGCGAAAGATTTAATAGGGAAGGTGGAAAAAGGCTCCGTCTGCCACTGTTGCATTCGGGTTTTTTCCGACGCAAAACGAGTTTTTCAAGTCAGGACCGGTGAGGTTTCTGCATTGCGTCCATCAGCTTGCGTATTCGCTTTGAGGCGCAGTGTCCGTATCTGGGCGCAATCGCGGACAAACATGCAGGCTCTTGTTTGAATGCAGATGCCCGCCAGCCTTGGAAACCCTGGCTCGATTTCGTGACCGCTTCACGCCAGCTTCCAAAAGAAAGGTTTGTCCCTCTCTCCTTTTTCAACCCCCGCGGCCTCTGTCGGGAGCGTCTGTCCACAGTGCACAAAGCTGACGAAGCAAACGGTGAACAAACTACTCCCCCAGTAAAATCTAACTCCATTCAGCTGGCAAGAAAACAGGGGGCCCAACCAAAAACCCAAACAGAACCGGCGGGCAACCAAAAAGGGGAGGAAACGTGAGCAGCCAAGAATGCCCGAAGGATCTGTGCTCGCAACCAAGTTGAAGAGCACATGCGACATCGTAGGCTATCTGCCAGGATGTGTTCCAGGTCACCAAGGAAGGCGAGGGCTCAAAGTTCGAAGTTGATCCCTTCGAAGAGCCAATGGCGCATAAAGTGCGCAGTGAGAGTCTAGGCGCCTTGGACTAAGGCGCCATGCGTCACACCCAGGGTCTCAGATTATGAGACCCAAGTGCTGACAAATGGAACGGCAGAACGGGCTGCGACAGGAAACCTTAAAGGATACATCCAAAACCCACCCGCTTCACACTCCCAAACAGTTGGTAAACGTGATTCTTCAAAAAAACTGTCCCCCTCAAATATCCGTTAAGGGACCCTCCGCACGTGCCAGCTCACAAAAAACAATGGGTCTTTTTGAATGGTCTCGTGGCTCAGGCAATGACTTGCCAAGATGTGTCAGCACACGAGCCGTGGAAAATTCTGAAGGGCCCCGCACTTCCAGCTGTTTCCCATCAAAGTGGGGTAGCAGCGTGCAAAGAAAACGACCAAGCGTTGGACCCTCGATTGGAGGGTCGATTTTCAAAAAAATCAAAAAACCAAGATTCTCGACGACAGAGGGGCTTTGCCCCCCCGATGTTTAAAGCTTACTGATCTTCTTGTCCTCAGTCCTTAGCTCGACTTTCCCATCCCCGCGACCGTGTTTTCTGTGACAACCTAAGGATGTGAGTGGGCCCTTAATGACACGAGCTCGTTCGCGAAACAGAGGGCGAAATGTGAAACCGAGGGTGTTTGTGTTGGATACCACCCCGCGAAATACCTGCAGTATACCCCAATAAGGTACCGCGGATACTCCGTGAGCACGATTTGTTGTCCAATGACCCTGTTCCTATCGGAAAGTGAGCCACTGAATATGACTTGAGCACATGCGTGAGTAGACTGCGGAACATTGCCTTGCAGATGGTTGATCAGTAAGACGACACCTCAGCTCTTTAACAAGTATCGGCACCCTTCAAGGGCCTCCCCCAATGAGTTTTCACCGAATTTTCAGTTTGCGCTTTTTGCCCTCCTTTCCGAGCACCTTTTGTCGACTTCCCCCTTCGCCTTGGACTTTCTAGTCGGTCCTTCTTGGTGGCCCGACCCTGAGGCACACTCTGAACTGGAGCCTCATCCCTTTCCTGCTCATGAGCAGAGGGGCCGAAAGTCAGCGGAAGTGCTTCCGCGCTCCTCTCGCCATGGAGGTTTCCCCCCCTTCGGCCTTTGGTGGGGTCGCAGCCCTCTTGGCCGTTGGCGGGGTCGCAGTCCTCTTGACCCTCGCACTCCCTTTCGCAGCAGGTTCGGATTGGATCCGTTCCGCAACTCCAACATATTTGGTGTTCATCCAGAAGCCATGATACTGCATGAGAAGCGCATCCTGGGTCGTCATCTTGTCGCCCATAGCCACGCAAAGCCATCCATATACAAAACGCAAGAACTCTTCCCGTTTTCGATAATTGGACTGTACCAATGATCAGGCCGAACTCGTCGAATATCTTGTCCAACTCATTCCCCTTGTGACTCTTCAGCGCGGGCGTGGCGTAGGCACTCACTGTCTGATCCTTCAGATGGACGATTCTCCTGTTGACAATCTTCTCCATAGTTCCGGGTACAGTCGTGAAGAGATGAGTCAATGTCATCTCGAGGAATCTGCCTGTCTTGGAACCCGCCCCTGGTTTGCAGCCACAATGACTCGAAGTCTTCGAGCAAAATAGCAGAAGGTCGGTAGTAATCGTTGACCGGAAGGCAACATGGAAAATCCGAGCTCCACTGGTTTCTCTGCTCATTTCTGCTCTTCACCGTCCCGTGCGGCAGCAGTCGGTCCACAAAGCGATTCAACAGCCTGAGAAGCACGCCAAATTACCTGAAGTAGCTTCAGGTACAGGATCAACGCAACGGGCCCTCTTCACTTTCTTGTTGCACAGGTGTTCATCGGGATCTTCACGCTCAGGTTGTTCTTTTTCGGGGTCGACGTCCATGTCGTCTCTTCCTTCGATGTTTCCCCTGCCCCCACTGCTTGTGAACATCTGACTCGGCCGTTTCTATGATCTCTCTTCTCCGTCTTCGGTCACGAGCTTCTCTTGATTTCCTCAACATGGAAGTTGACAGCCTCCTCCTGCGCTGAGACGTTTCGTCGCGTTTCTCTCCAATGGACGCACATGATCACTCCATGCGTGTAGAAGTTCGCAAATCACGCAATACGTGAACGCAGCCGGCGTGCATCTCAAGCAAGTTGGACAAACTCGTGTCACCTGTCCATACCACTGATCATCCGGCTTCTTGTTCACAATCACGAAATTGCGAAAATTGGACATGGCCAGTTTGTACTCGGCTGTTCATCGGTTCGACTCTGTCCTGGCAAGTTCCGCCTGAAGTTCTCTTTGATCGTCTTGAGCAGATGGTGCCTGAGAGCGGGACGGCTCCACGTCAGCGTTGCCTGGCTGACTTGAGCCACGGCATCTCCACTCCCATGTCCGGACACTCCAACAGCAGGGCAGCCGTCGACCCGACAAATGCAACTAAAGACTGACCGTCGGACATTGTCTTGAAAAGTATAGTAGTCCCGAGCGACTAAAGGTCCAATATCATAGGACAGTGGGCGACCCCTCTCATCCTTATTGACCAATGTCCCACAGCTTGTGGGAGACTCCTGCGGTTTAGTTGCACCACCCTCCACAGGAACTGCAAAGTGCTTCAATAAGGTGCCGCGGATACTCCATGAGCACGATTTGTTTTCCAATGATCCTGTTCCTATCGGAAAGTGAACCACTAGACATTGCTTGAGCCAAACACCATGGTAGGTGACATGGCCCTGGGATTGCAACACTACTCACACAAAATGTGAGGTCGCAATTCAATTTGCCCGGGCCAGATGAGTGCTTTTGTTGAGGGTACCCGTTAACCTTAGTTCAAAGTTTGCATCCCCTATTTTGACACTGAGCCAATGAACTGTCCAACAGGGTGAACAGTCGTACTGTCAGTAGGTTCCAGAACTCGCACAAAAGCCCTGAAGGGGGGGGATCCCTCGTCAGCAAATTGCTGCTTCCAATTTGCCCACTTTGAATCAGGGACGACCAGCACGTTGAAACAAGCCAAGTTATTAGTTCAGGGCTGCTTAGAGGACCCCAGGCTCCTGACTGTGGCTGCTGGTTGTGTTCAAGGGACGCTGGTTCTTCATTGGTCCCAAGGGGCGGAATTGCTTTGACCCGGAATCCAAAGCCACCTGCTGCGCATCCAGGCCAGCAGATAAGAGGGATCGTTGAATCGGCCTGGATGCGTACTCTATGGGGCCCTGCTGCATGCAAGGCGCATAAAGAAATCCGCGGACTTCCCTCACCTCATGCCTGGCGTGAACTCTTCACGGCTTGTCGAACGGGAACCTGCAGTCAACAGGCTCTAAGAAGCTGGCGCTCATCGTCTGGACGTCTGTGGCAAATCTTTGGACTCCTGCTTTGATAGGGCAAGTTGGGGCAAGCACCGGTTTTTCAATGGACAGAGGCCGGTTCAAGAGGACCATCTTCCAGAACCCTCCGATCGTCAGCATCCAGCAGGAAAAGCTGACAGAAAACATTCAAGAAATCACTATACAGCGTGGAAGTAAGAATACTTGGCCAGCGTCGGAAAGCAGAAAAGCTAGACTCCCAACACCAATAGCGGAAGGTTTGGTTTGTCCCTTGCCTTTTCGAAAGGATGTCAAAAGTCTTCAGCAGTTGCCAATCTCAAATGAGGGAAGCGGGTGTCAGGACCCCTTGCATGGGACCTGGTCATGACTCCATCGGGATAAACCCGTACAATAGTTGTCTAATTGTGTCTTCCATTTGCTGAAGTCCCACGGACAAATACAAATAAATCCAGTAGTCCTTTAAAAGCAGAAGGAATAAACCAAAAGACCGTGGGTCTTGTTTTGTTGTGTGTGTGTTTGTTTCCTGTTCTGTATTGGCTTCTGAAAGAAAGCTGCCCAACACAGAAAAAAAAAACGAAACAGCTGCAAAAAAACACCCAACAGATACAAGAGGTCATGAGTCTTGCTTTGTTGTGTGTTTGTTTTCTTTTATGCATTGGCGTCTGACATGTCCAACACAGAAAAAACAAAACAGCTACAAAGAAAGCACTCCAACAAATACAAGAGGTCATGGGTCTTGCTTTGATGTGTGTTTGCTTTCCTTTCTGTCTTGGCTTCTGCCGTCGACGCAAGCTGTCCAACACAGAAAAAGCAAAACAGCTACAAAGAAAAACACCCAACAGATACAAAAAGTCATGGGTCTTGCTTTGTTGTGTGTTTGTTTCCTTTTCTGTATTGGCTTCTGACATGAACGCAACCTGCCCGACACACAAAAAGCAAAACAGCTACAAAAAAAAGAAAAAGAAAAAAGGAAGAAAAAAAAACAGATACAGCAGGTCACGGGTCTTGCTTTGTTGTGTGCTTGCTTTCTTGTCTGTATTGGCTTGTGACATGAACACAAGCTGCCCAACACAGAAAGAACAAAACAGCTACAAAGAAAAACAACCCAACAGATACAAGAGGTCGTTGGTCTTGCTTTGTTGTGTGTTTTGTTTCTTGTCTGTTTTGGCTTCTCACATGAACGCAAGCTGCCCAACACTGAAAAAGCAAAACAGCTACAAAGAAAAACACCCAACAGATACAAGAGGTCATGGGTCTTGCTCTGTTGTGCAGTTTGTGTTCTGTATTGGGTTCTGACATGAACGCAAGCTGCCCAACACAGAAAAACAAAACAGCTACAAAGAAAAACACCCAACAGATACAAGACGTCATGGGTCTTGCTTTGTTGTGTGTTTGTTTTCTTTTATGCATTGGCTTCTGACAGGTCCAACACAGAAAAAACAAAACAGCTACAAAGAAAGCACTCCAACAAATACAAGACGTCATTGGTCTTTATTTGATGTGCGTTTGTTTTCCTTTCTGTCTTGGCTTCTGCCGTCGACGCAAGCTGTCCAACACAGAAAAAGCAAAACAGCTACAAAGAAAAACACCCAACAGATACAAAAAGTCATGGGTCTTGCTTTGTTGTGTGTTTGTTTCCTTTTATGTATTGGCTTCTGACATGAACGCAACCTGCCCGACACACAAAAAGCAAAACAGCTACAAAAAAAGAAAAAGAAAAAAGGAAGAAAAAAAAAACAGATACAGCAGGTCACGGGTCTTGCTTTGTTGTGTGCTTGCTTTCTTGTCTGTATTGGCTTCTGACATGAACGCAAGCTGCCCAACACAGAAAGAACAAAACAGCTACAAAGAAAAACAACCCAACAGATACAAGAGGTCGTTGGTCTTGCTTTGTTGTGTGTTTTGTTTCTTGTCTGTTTTGGCTTCTCACATGAACGCAAGCTGCCCAACACTGAAAAGGCAAAACAGCTACAAAGAAAAACACCCAACAGATACAAGACGTCATGGGTCTTGCTTTGTTGTGTGTTTGTTTTCTTTTCTGTATTGGCTTCTGACATGAACGCAAGCTGTCCAACACAGAGAAAGCAAAACAGCTACAAAGAAAACACCCCAATTACTTCCAACTCAGCCGAAAGTGCTTTTGTTTCTGCGCAGGGCCCACTGATTTGCATAGTTAATGACTATATGAGCAACAAACAAGGAGTTCATGCCAGGGGTCCCAAACATGGCCTTCGACTTGGGCCCCGGTCCCCCTCCAGTTGGGGGTCCTTTGCCTTGCCGTGGAGTGGGAGGATAGAGCTTGCGTTGCATTGGCTCAAGTTGATGCAAGTAGTAAAATTGTCATGTCGCTCATTACTTTTCGCTGGGTTGTTTAAAAAAACAAGAACAAGCGCAAACAAAAGGTGGCCATCCTTACCTGAGGAGCCACCACCAATATCGGATATTGGGTCTGTGCCTCATGTCACCCTTTCCCGTGATACATCGTCGCCCGCTTACGTGTTCGCGCCACCCCTCGATCGCTCCACATCGATCGAATGCCGGCGCCTGTGGGGTCAAGGGCTCATAAATCACAGAGGTGAAGTCGGAGGGCTCCTCTAGCAGCGCCGCGAGGAACTGCCTGGCAGAGGAGCGGGGAAAGGGGCAGCGGGTTGCTGGGCTTCCATTTGCAGTAGAGGTTCCTGGAAAGATTGGAAATATGTCCAGCAATGATGGGCTCTCTTTAAAACCAGGGGAGGAAAAAAATGACGTCTTAAGCAAATGGAGGTTGGCTGGATTGGTTTGGTTTGCCTTGCTTTGGTTGGGTTAATTGGGGTTGGCTCACAGATCGCTTCTGGGATACTCGCGAGTTTCCCAAGTGATCCTCAAAGCTGTCCTTGGTGGGCTGGCTGGCTGGCTGGCTGGCTGGCTGGCTCGCTGGCTGGGTGGGTACCATATACTGATTCAGAGCCCACTCGCAAGGGTATTTGTTCTGCAGAGTGGTGCGCCATGGGAGGTTGGGTTTTTGAACACTGCCATTTTCAGTCATTCTTAGTAAAAATACACCATTCTGTTGTTCTGAGGGGGTCAAGGACCAAGGGCCATATCTCTGGTTTGCCTTGCTATAGCTCTGAATCAGTTTAGGGTACGGTGGATGCCCTCAATATTGCAAGTGAACCAACCACACCACAAAGTTGATCGGCAATTTTTCGCTCAATTGCGTGTGCAAATGGTTCCCCTTGCCAAAGGGCATCCTTGCCAAAGGGCATCCAACGTCGTCCCACACCCCAAACCGGGAAAACAAGTTTCTCTAAAAAGCAAGCTAGGCCTGGCAATGTCCGGAGAAATCAAGAGCCGAGTTGCAGTGCCAAAAGGAAAACTTGAGGGGAATGCATGGGGGTCCAGCTCCTCTTTGTCAACCTCCCCCTGCCTTGAAAGATACCCCCAAAACACAAGAAAAGGGCCTGTGCTTTTCAGAGGTACCCTTTTCAGGTTGGTTTGAAGGGAAACCAAATCCACCCATTTTGAAGGTCCCCCAACTTGACACACACAAGGAGTTGGAGCACAGGGAAGCGGGGATTGAAACTGCCGACCTGCCTAGCACGCCACCGGGCAGGCTACCAAGCGGCCCCGCGAATTTGCCAGCACGAAAGGCTGGCAACTGCAACTAGCACAGGCTCCTAAATTACAAACCGTGGCTTCCCCACAAAAACAACCTCCACTTACACACACGAATTATTAGGGGCCCTTTGGTGGATATCATTTCCGAATTAGGATCACAGCCCCCAAAGCCGTTCAGCGGCTTCAAAAGTCCAGCTACTCCCCGAAAACGTCCGCGTCGCTAAAAACAAAAGGCAAGAGAACATGCCGCCCTATTTTGGCCCGACTCCTTTGGTGCCGCTTGTTCAAGGGAAAGAAAACAAGACAACCACCAAACAACTTGCTGATGCTCAATGGGGAATGAACCCAGGCTTTGGTCCCCTTAAAGGAAATATTAGGGGTTATTCCACCCCTTATTTAATCAGGGGTGTTTCTGGGGCTCATGCCACCTCTCATTCCCTATTGAACGCAGGCAAAACTGCCAGGCCGAAGCCCGCGCTGCCTCGCGTAGTTGGCAAGGTCTGCGGTCACCTCCATGTGCTTCAAGCCGAGGGAGACCACCGTCCTCACCGAGAAACGGTCTGAGAAAACGGAGGGGGAAAAAAAGAAAACCTGCTCTCCTCGGAGATAGGAGAAAAAAAACTGGGCCATGGAATCCCTCTAAAACCAAGGGAAAAGTAAAGAAAGACTTGAGCAAATGGAAGACGCAAAGGTCTTGTTCTTCGAGTTTGATTTTCTTTTCACTTCGCTCCTGTTTGGCCGATGAGGGGTTCTGAAGGCAAGAGGGTCAAAATGGGCATCGCCCAGAATCGGCGAACCATGTTTGTTGCTCGACTGTGCGTGTGACTTTGTTAACCGGGGGCTGACCAAAAAAAGCGCGGCCGTACAGCCAACCCGTAAGTCCGAGCGTCTCGTGGTCCAGGCAGAGGAGAGTGCCGCCTGACGTTGAACGAAAAAATATAGGGGCCGAAATAGTTATAGGATTGCGGGGTACGCTAAAACCAAAAGTGGTGATCAGAGAATCAGGTGTCAAGCATGCCCTTAGTTCCCTTCATGCCCCAAAAGTCACAGCAAAGGGGGACAGGGTAAAGAGGGCCCTTGTGAAAAACCCAACTGTAGCAAACTCTTTCCAGCTATCGTGGAAGTGGACAGGGGCTTTCGCGTGAAAGGAAGGTAGTCTTCTAAAACCCTCTTGTCAGCTTCCGTGATTGTTGAGGGAAGGGTTAGTCGCACATCTACCAAACATGTTCAGGGACGCAAGAAAGCAGCGACACCCCCATAACAAAGAACCCAATTCTAGTTTTAGCTTAATGTTTTGCTCCCCCAAGAGGATGGAAAAGTGGCGAGTCTCCAGCATGTAAGGGATCAGGAGCCGACATCCGAGCATATGGGCAAGAGTTCTATCCTGCACTTACCCCGATCCGGTTTTAACTGCTGCACAAACGGACATAAGAAGGCACTGACCGCGTGTTTTTTTTGTCCACTCGCATAAGGAAGCCGTTACAAACACAACACCCTGAGCAAGCCTTGGAAACCCTAAGGATCCCCCTAAGGAAGCTGAGGAACAGGGAAGCCTTGTCAACCAGTAAAAAGGAACCCCATGGAAGCCCTAAAGCCCAAACGGTCCCTGCCGCCTGCTGCGACGGCCTGGCCCTGGTACTGCCAAGGCGTCCACAAGCCTTAGCAAGAGCGCGCGGATGGGGGATCTAAAACGTCCATTTGCTTCAGAAAATGCGTTCGCCGCCCGACCCCTGTAAGACTACGTTCCTCTTGGAAAGGGGCTTTGTGCACTTCCATGTTAGGTGGTAGGAGTGTATTCCCAAGCAGCGACAAAAACAAAACTTGACATTTGGTTCTACCAAAATGGTTCTCATTGTTTATTAGCCTCGCTTTCCCTAGTAAGCTAGAACCACTCACCAAAATCCATGTTTGATAGTTTCAAAGTATCCAGGCGTCAATGACACGGTCCCACCCATTTGGGGAGGTTGTGAGCACCAATCGGGTAGCATATCAAACCAATAGGTACACGTGGCATTTGGGTGTGCGTCTTTTTCTAGGGGACCCCAAAACGGTGGTTGTCCTTTTAGTTTTCCGTTTCCTTCTTAAACCCACGAAAAAAACAAATACCCTCCATTTGAGATGTCACAATTCCTTGTTTTTGGGTAGGAGGGGATCACTAAGCCAAAATCCGGGGATCGCGCCATCTCACCCAACTCTGGGCCCAAAAACTTGGCTGCAACGTGTGTGCATCTGGTTTCCCTTACCGACAAGAGCATCCTCTTTCACGACGTCTCCGTTGCCGCGGCACAGGCTTCGCACATCCAGTCCCCCGCGTTCAACATTTTCACGTCGCTGATGCTCGCAACCCCGACCTTCCGAGGGCTGGGCAGGCTCGTAGGGGAGAATTTCTTTATTTGTTATGTTGATTCTTGTTTAAATAATCTAGTTTTAGGTTCCTTATTGTCCCTATGGACCTCCAAAAGTGGCAAATGCTATGTGTCAAAAAAGAAAATTGGAACCCCAAAAAGAATGGGTGGTTTCGCTACACCGGCCCAAACGGGATCAAAAGGGTGATCATTGGATGAACAAAGTAACACTTTACACTGCAAAAAGGACCTCTGAAAGGAGCAGCGTCAACATCGGCAAACACCCAAACGCCGTTCGATATATGCAGGGAATGAGGCAACAAGCTGAATGCCCGTTTTTCTACAGGCAGGTTGGTTGTTGCGACATCCATGGGGTTTGTCGCTCAAAACACCAACAGGTGTCGGGAAAAAAGCTGCGTAAAGCACCTGTTGGGGTCGGAAAAATTAGACCATAGGGATCGTTCCCCCCAATGCCATGGACACTTTGAGTCTATTTTGCAGCCTGCAAGGAGCCCGCAAAATAGACGCCACGCCTCCACACAACCATGTCGTGCTGCCTGCCCCTTTCCTTTACCGAGTCCAGATCGTTATTTCTGACATCTCTCCCTGTCTCACACGTCCTTGGAGCTTTCGAGCAGCCCGGCTGTGAGTGCGGAAACAGGTCGGTCTCGCGCGGGGCCTTCGGGATCATCGAGAAGAAGCCCTTCAGGTCCTCGGAGGTGCAGAAGTCCTTGCCCTCGGTGTACTTCACCTGGCAGGCCAGGGTTTGACTGGGGGTTTGGGTGAGCAAAGCAATGCCACTGAGAGGAGACGCTGGCTTGATGATCGTCATGGCCCCAGGTTGTGCAGAGACCCTGGCAGCAATCATCTTGTACGGCGAACACTCCAAAAACAAACAGAACACCGAACAACTGGCAGACTGACACTGCTTGAAATACTACGTAGGTACTCCCACGCCGGCACCAAGCTGGCCAGGCTGGCTGGCGCAACTCAATATGAGTGGTGCCCAAAGCCTATCATAACCTTCTTGAAGCTAGCTATGTGGATTTATACCGGGGCTTCACAATCAACCCCCAGTGAAACCAGGCCGCTTATGGCCAGAAGGAGTTTTGGGCGCTCAATTAGCAGGGGATATCCTGAAAGAAAATTGGCCTTCATCCTTTCATTGACCTCGAGTCAGACTGTAAGCCCACGACTTTTCAATGAAGGCCTTTCAAAAACAGCTAATCCATACACGGGTCGCGACCGCTCGAACCCGCTCGAACTTTTCAGTACGTGCTTCCCTGCATCAGGGAGTTACAATTGAGGCCAACGGTCCGAGCCTCACTTGCTGGAGAAAAAGAGGCCATCACCTTTGGAAACAACGAAACATTGGCCATGAGGGGAAACTGCAAAAGATCCGAAGGTCGAGCCTTTTCCTTGTCATTAAAAATAAGTATGCCGGCACCCAGCTTCATTCCTCATTCACCATACATGCGAATCAATTGATTTGCTTGACAACTTTCAAGCAACTTGAAACCAAGCGCTGTTCCAGGTCCCCGTCCACGCCTGGCCGTGGGCTACCCAAACCCTCAGCGCGAACCCCACTGGAAATGGTGTGTCGTGGGGACCTCTCCCAAACTAAAGAAGTTGAAGAAAAAAATATGCAGGCATCTCGAGCCAAAGAACAGATCATGAACAAACAAAGGCAAACCAAGATCCCTCCTGAAGTACTGTGGGGGGCCTTTCTGCATTGCAAAACGGAGTAAAGCGACAGGTCCCAACTCGTGAAACCTCTAGCTAGCGGGAAAAAAAACACATGAAGAAACGGACGCAAACCAAAGGTCTCTACTCAGGTTCTGTGGTGGCCTGTCTACATTCCTGGAAAACAGGAGCTGACAGGGTCATCGCTTTTGCAACCTCAGAGTCACCAGCTATTGAACACAACATGAACAAACAATGGTGCGCTGCACCGGAAAGACATATGTTTTTTTTTTTTAGGAGGTCTGAGCCGGATACAGTAGGTTGATGACCATCCCTGCCACAAGCAAAAGGGTCACACGTCCCCCCATCCAGCAAGATTAGTCCCATGCGACCCGATCAGCATTGTTTGTTTCTTTCTTAGGCAACTTGTGCGAAACTCGCAAGGAGCTCAGGACCGGGAGCAGCGCAAGACTGCCCGACAGAGGCGCGCCAAGGGTAATCTAAAGAAAGCCCTGCAGAAATGCTCCACAGAAGTCACTGGATTCCCCCTCCGAAAGTTGCAATTGATCATTTCCTCGTTGGTAAGTGTGTAAACGGTCATCTGGTGCCAAATCATCGTACATCACGGGTGTTCACTCGAAATCGAATTCACCAAAACGTGGGCAGAACATGACCTCTCCGCCAAATTGGACATCTCCATGTGGTTTGTTTCCTCGTTAGGTGGGGAAGTGGTCATCCGCTCCCTGCTTGGTTGCTGTTGACCCCCCTGCAAAAAGTTTAACTTTCTGGGGGTTTAGTGGAAAACGCCTTGATTTCCCAAAAAGTTAAAGTCTAAAGATCCAACCCAAAAAGCAGTCAAGCCTTAAACCCGCAAGTCGAGCAAAGTCGGCAGGTCACAATCTCTGGCCGGTGTGGTTGGCTCCTCCCATCCCACAAGAACCAGGGGTTCAAATCCCATCCCACTCCAAAGAACCAACTTCGGCTTACCTGGAAAAAATCCGGCTGAGAAGTTTTGAGGAGACCACATGGCGTTGCAGGAGGAGCCCGCAGCAAAGAGGAGCTCCTGGAGCAAGGGGAACTTGCCGGGGCAATAAAATAATACGAATATGCAAGGATATGATTTGTCCATGTCCAGTCCATTCGTGTCCATGTCCTGTTCTTTCCAGTTCCTTTTCATTCCCTTTCATTCCCTTTCATTTTCTTTCCCTTTCCATCTTTCCGTTACCTTTCCTTGCCTTTCCATTGCTATACATGTCCTTTCCATTCCTTTCCATGTCCTTTCCATGTCCTGCAACCTCCATCGATTTCTACGGGTTCTTTCAACGTCATGTCCATTTCTCTACAATGCATTTTTGCAGTCCATCCATCCCTTTCTACTCCTAGCTATAAAGAACTGCCCAAGGACAACCGCCCGCGTAGAGAATTTGATAGCGCCGGGTTTCCTTTACGTTTCCTTTCCTTTTCGAATTCTGGTCCATGTCCTTTTCATTTCTCCTTTTTTTGCGAGCGCAAAGCCACCGTAGGAAAAAAAAACGGCTACAAGACAGAAGCACGCAACATTGCATTGTTCAGTTTCTTGGTATGCCAGCATGTACTAGTGATTGCCAATTCGATCTGTCCAAAGAGTGTGGATGCAGTGTTCTCCAGAGTTGGGTATTCAAGTGCCAACTATGGGCGTTCGTACCGGGTAGAGGTATGGAATGTGTGGTATGGGGCTGCCAAAATGGGTGAGAAAATTCGTTTAAAGGGGGGTCTCGAATGCTGTAAAAATTGAACTCTTGCCCACGCATCGGCAAATGCGAGCTCGTGCCAAAGTCCTCGACGGAAAGGAGAGCTCAGCCTCTTAAAGGTATGGGCTGGGCCAAAAACTGCCTGGTCTTCGAGCAGTGAGGGATCTTGAAGGATGTGGCCTAGACATTTACTCCGGGGACGTAACATGGATTGGGCCGGGGTAAGCGTGCTTGGGAAGAAAGGAATTCGTTGGAGCATTGCTCCTCTGATGGAGAGAGTACTCGGTGGTAGTGTGAGGACTTGATTCCGAGGATTTGTCGAAGTGTGCGGAAATGGAGTGTGTAAAAAAAGCCTGAGATGCGATTCTGTGAAAATCTGGGACTCCGATGAGTAAGTGAGCATGGACGATTTGCATGTAAACGTGGAGCTTCTTCTTGGTGGAAATACGCTTGTGGAGGATTGGGGCTAGGGCCTTATAGCCTGGGAAAGTAGGCATGAGCCACGCCCCGAGGTATCTGGTGGCGGTGGCAGGGAATAGTGGCTCTGGGAGTTGGATTGTACCACCACAGAAAGTGCAAGTGCAGGGGGTGTCGTGGGTGACAAGAGAAGAGAAGTAAACTGGTTAGAACTGACGGTGACTAGTGGCGGCTTCTCCAAGCTGAGCGTCATGCCGTATCTGAGCGCAATGTGTTGAAGCGAGTGAAGAAACCATGCAGCGGGTTGTCTGGTGTGAGAGCCCACGTGTGTTGGGCAAAAGTGTCAGAGAAATGGGCGTGAATGCCTTTCATGAAGCAAAAAGAAAAATAATAAAGAGATATGGAGAAAGGGGGCAACCTTGCATGACCCCTGTATATTGAGGCAGAGTGTTGGATTCAATGTTAGCCTCTTGAACATAGAAGGTTGCGCCTTCCTTGAGAGAAATGACAACTTGAACCAGGGGCTCAGGGACCCCCATTCGGATATCTAGCCTAACCTAGTCTAACTAATCTAGACTAAATCTGTCTATCTATCTATCTGTCTGTCGCTGGACTTGTTGCGCCCCAGCTTTGATGGCCCGGCCAGGTCTTTTACTGTCCGAGTAACATTGCGTAACTCCATATCATCGCCTCTTTTTCGTTTATCTCTCTATCTATCTATCTATCTATCTATCTATCTATCTACTTATCTCCCCTGTCTATCTATGTGTATGTACATCTAACTGAGTGGCTGAGTGGCTGAGTGGCTGAGTGGCTGAGTGGCTGAGTGGCTGAGTGGCTGAGTGGCTGAGTGGCTGAGTGGCTGAGTGGCTGAGTGGCTGAAGATCGCCCCTTGCCTGCGCTGTAGTGGACCCATTTGTCTCGCCAATACCATTTATCAAATTTACGCATCCATGCTACATTTGCGAATGTCCCCCGCAGTCGACCATCTCCTCCCAAATCAGCAGTTTGGCTTCAGACAAGCTCGCTCTACCTCAACCCCCATCTATCTAATCCGACGCCTTATCTAGCTCCACAAAAGTCACACATCCCCCTTCTACCTTCTTTTCCTTGGTTGGTCCCAAGCTTTCGACTCTGTAGAACTCGATCATCTTGCCTCCTCTCTTCTCGTTCAGATTAGATGTTGGACTAGATTAGATAGGCAGGTAGATAGATTTGATTAGATCGGTAGATAGCGGTGGATAAGTAGATAAATAGATACATACATACATGAAAAAAATAAAGATAAGTCTGTCAGGAAGATAGATGGACATATCAATAGGTTTAAGCTACCCACCAATTAACGCGGAACCTGACAGAAAGACAATTTTCCCTTTAGAGGGATCCCCTGTAAGGTTCCATGTTTACTTGGGGGGAAGAAAGGGCCAGGGATGGGAAGCGAGCCTGGAAGTGTCCCTTCAAGAAAGGGATCCCTGAAAAACATTTTTCCCAGATTTTCCCGTCCAGCTCGGGTCAATTCCCTCTAGAAACCAGTCGAATTCCCCTGAAACCTGTCAAAGTCCCCTCTAGAAACCAATCCTATCCCCTCTAAAAACCGCAAGCCAGTCAAATCCCCGTCTAGAAACCGATCAAATCACGAAACCGGTCCCCCTCCCGTCTGTCAATCAAATGTCCAGTAAAAACTCTGTGAAATCTCCTCTAAAAACAAGTAGAAACTGGCAAAATCCCCACCCCCCCCCCAAAAAAAAAAAAAAACAATCAAATTCCCTAGAAATTTGCACCCTCGATTCGCCCTATTCTCTGCCTGTGTGGAAACGCGCGGCCATGCACCCACCCTCTACCTTGGAAACCGGCTCACGCATTTCGGCGCCGACTCACTCACTTTAATAAACACAACACTTCAAAGCAAATCAAAGCACGGTATATACCTCAAAGCCAGCCAAAAGCGGACTGGCCGACGCGAAGTGTTTACAATTAATTTAGAATAAATAGCTAGATTGGATTAGATTAGGTTAGAGTAGAAGTAGATAGGTAGGCAGGTAGGCGGGTAGATAGGCAAATAGATAAATATATGGATAGGTACAGATGCGTAGATGAACAGACGGATAGACAGATAGACAAATAGATAAGTAGCTAAGTGGATGCATGGAATCAAGCAAATGAATAGCTAGAAAAATCAATAGATCCAGATAAATGGATAGGCATGGACACACACACACACACACCGGTAGATTTGGGCAATGACTTTTCTGTCGGGTTCGTAAGTTCTATCACAACTTTGCAAGTCATAACATTCCGGGGGAGGGCATCCAAGCAAGGCACATGTGTGCTTGTTACGGGTAGCAATTCGTTTCACGTGTCGGTTTGCAGACCCGAAAGGACAGTCTCTGCTTGGGGAGTTGTTTGGGGGCCTGAAAGTTGAAAGCCGCCATGTTTTTTTGCTTCCCCACCCTCCGATTCTTTTTGCCAATGCCTCAATCAAGAATATAAAGACAAGTCGACAACTTAAGGGTGCGATTGGAAGGGAATGACCGAGTCCGGGTGTTGGGAAGGATTCCCTAGAGGAAACCATAGGGGATGTCTTGTAGGGGTCATTCCCTCATTCCCTGCTGAGCACCTCGCAAGACGAAGGTCTTCCGGGAAAATAGAGAACCAAGGGGCTTGAGATAGTCGAACCTCCGATGGGCCATGGGTTTCTGAGGAACTGCAAGTCGATTGGAGAACTCCCACTTTGGTGAGCGGGTAAATTGTCAGACAGCGTAAGAAACCATGACACCATAGGCAGAAGTTCACCGGTGTCCTTTCTTAGGGGTAGGTTTGCTTTTAGTTTCTCTTTCAGCCACTCAGAAGGATTCCGCTCCTGGGGCATCATGTGCCGATCCTGGAGCGATGCACAAAGGTCCTGCGGATGGCATCCGATGGATGCACGGGAAAATATGATGCCGCTGGTCCCAACAACAGTCCAAACTGGTTGTTCCCTGAAATGATCCAGACACCAAAAGCATGCTCCAGCACTCGGCAAGAGATGGCCTGCTTATTGCCATGGCAATGATTGCCTTAACAGGAAGCCTGATCATGGTTCTCTAAAGCCCCTACTAGGTTCATGATCCTCCCTGCAACCCCAAGAACCTGCGTTGAGCTCCAAGGCCAGGTTTGGGCGCTTTTCCGTGTCTTTCCTAGCCAAGCAAAGACAACACGTCAAAGCTTGAAAGTCTAAAAGCTCAGCTTCCCTCGAATTGGATTGGTGGTTTGGTGGTTAAGGGTGGGTTTCCCATCCCTCTACAAGAACCGGAGGTTCAAATCCAAATGGTCTCAGACAAAGCCGCAAAAGAATAGTCCTCAACAGCTGCCGAAACTTTGTATTTCACTCGCGTGACGCCAGGCGTTCAAGTACGTAGTCTAAGGGCTTCAAAGCTTGAAACGGTCAGATTTAGCCGCGTCTTCAAACTGGTGAGCCCCCCTACCTCGCCTCCCCCGCGCAAAAACAAGAAGAAGTGGTTTTCCCTGTGGTTTCCCTTCGCGACCATCCCAAAACGAGTACCCGCAAACAAACAACAAGCCCATTTGGAGGTGCAAGAAATTGGGCCACAGGGGGACAAACAAAACGTATGCTCTGAGTCTGCTTCATTAGTCTATCCCAGACCCCAGGCAAGAGGCTTTATCTGAACGCGACAGTCCCAGGTCGCGCTCCTTGCTAAACGCTGTGAAGGATTCACGCAACCAGAGGAAGAAGTGGTGCTTCCTGGGGCTCTCGGTGCAACACCCAGCCGAGGCCCGAGGGAACGGAGAAGAAGCGATTTACATGGAACCTGCCGTCCGGGGGGGGTTTGGACCATTCTCCTTTAAAGGAACCTGTCAGGTTCCATGTTGATTGGTGCGAGGGTGGCCTCACTTCCTAACTGTAGTCAAAGCCAAAGTGGTCTACCCGAACACATGTAAATAACTGGGAAGACCGCCATACATATTTTGGCTGGGACTGTACCCCATTAACCTTCATCTACCATCGCTTTGATTGAGGAGCTTTGGATGCAATCAACACTCCGCAATCTTCCAGACTGGCAGCTAAGTCAAACGCTAAACACGCTTTGGAAGCGGGTTGAACGGAAACCAAGGCGAAACCAACCACGTGGGAGAGTCTGAAGTTTTGCCACAAGTCCAAGTATCACCTTAAACGCCTTGAGTAAAAGGGCCATTCAAGATCCAAATAACTTCATAAAACCAAAACATGATTCGAGGTTCCAACTGAAACACTTTCCCATTCTCCAATATCACTCCGTTGCGTTTCCCAAGAAACCAACTTGTGGCGTTGGGTTCCCTTATGCCCAGAGATCAAAAAGACGTCCGGCGTCCAGCAAATTCTGCACGCCGAAACACCCCGGAACGCGGAACGCCCCGAAGCTTTCAGCAGAAAGTTCCCTTGCCATTCAAAAATGGGTCCCACTGGATTGAATTTCAGAACTCGCAAAATGACTCTCGGTCGGGGACCCGGTGGTTCCCAGAAGTGAACCACTAGTCAAATCGGCAATTGTTTGACCATGTCTTTGAGGACCCATCCGTACGGAGGGGTTCCTTTTGCCGAAATTGATAGCTGCAAAAAACTCCGTGTTCCAAGCCGAACCACCGGTCCACCGGTCCACCGGTACCAAAAAATCCGCGGCCCATTGTCCCAGCCACGGAACACGGAGCCTGCTGAGTTTGGATCCCATTTTGCCCGAAGTGAGTCAAGGGTAGACAACCAAGCTCGCTGGTGATCAGCAGGCAATAAGGGAATGACCCCCCCCAAAAAAAAACATCCCCTATGGTTTCCTTTAAGGGAACCCTAAGTGCATTCCCAACACCCAAATTCACTCATTCCCCAATGGCACCGGCAAGCAAGGCTCCAAAGGGATTTGGAGGCCGCGATTTTATGGCTTCAAGCTCAAAAGGCTCGACAACCCCAAGCGAATCTGTCAAGGGCGAGTCAGCCCATTTCTCGAAATGTTTAAACACTTGTTGAAACACTCCCTGCAACCCATTTTTCAGGTGGCCTTCAATATGGGTGTCTCGTTCTTAATGGGAAACCCCCCAAAATGGCTGGGTGGTCCTTTTGGTGTGCCTTCAGAACGCCCAAAAAGGTTGGTACCAACTCAAAAAGCGACCCGTATCCAGGTTGCCAGTCCCCTTCCTCCCCAATATTTTCCACACCAGGTCGCGAGAGGAGGGGAGTGAAGGCCTCTTGGCACAGCTCTTGGAACAAGAAGTCCGGGAAGTGACTAGCAACCTCCCGGACGACGTCGAAAAGTGGGTGCGAAAGTGGGGGGACGAGGGTGATTTTCTTTTCTGTTTTTCCGCGGGAGAGAAATGGAACCCGGAAAAAACTCGGGGTTGCCCCAACCACAACTTGAAAGTGTGTTTCGGTTTGTTCTTTCTGGGCAATGTAGCGTTGTCCGGACATGGTATCCAGGGGACACTCTAGTAAAGATTGCCGCTCAAGTCATTTTGCCACCTGGTTTGTGAGAAATGCAGCCTCATCTGGGAGGAACCCATGCCCACTACTAAGTGTCCACCACTACCGAAACCCAGCAAGAAACAGGATATCCTGTATCTATCCAGGATTGAGTGGATAGCGATTGCATATCCGAATAAAGCCTCGCCAAACCTGCGCAAATGGCTTCCCTTCCCCACTGGAACCGTGATCACCGCCGAAAAACTCGGATCTCGACAACGTTGACGGATGAATTCAACCTGTCACACGGATCACCCCTAGTCTGCCGGATTGAAGACACCTGGGCAAGTGGTGAGATAGCTGCAGCCCACATAAAACGGGATTGACTCCTGACTTCGAAGGATTGTCCGAGGCCTGCACGCCAAAAGGAAAAACACACGAGCAGAGTTGGAAGTTGACAGTATAACTTGGCCAAACTTATCCCCCCCCCAAAAAAAAAAAAACAAAAGAAAAAAAAGAAGAAAAAAATCAACACAAAGGAAAACGTATGGAAAACAATGGAAAACGAAGGAAAACAATGGAAAACAAAGGAAACCAAGGAAAACCAAGGAAAACCAAGGAAAACCAAGGAAAACCAGGGAAAACCAGGGAAAACCAGGGAAAACCAAGCAAAACCAAGGAACTTCAAGAGAACACAAAAAAGATCGGACCAGTCTGGCAATGGCAACCAAGGCTTCTAGACACTAGTGATTGTCCTTTTGCCCAGACAACCCAGTTTAAACAAAAAAAACATGTGCGAGAGGCCGCCCCCCCGCCCGCACCCGCTTTGGAGATGCTAAAATGTGTTGAGGAGCCAAATCGACCAAACTTCTCCGACCCCAAGATTTGATAGCTTTGATCTCCATTTGGTGGGTCAAGAATAGGTCAAACTGGCACCCGATAGGTACATGTAAACCATGGACTAAAACCTGCGGTCTGGTGGCTGAAGTTTTTGATCCACGCCAGCCATCTCGCGAGCAAATGCGTCCGAGTCCGCCTGGTTTTTGCTCACGGCGCGTTGCCTCGAGTTCCACTTGGCCAGGTATTTGGTCAGCGCCGCCTGCGCTCGGCCACTGGGCTCGACTGACTCGAGAGCGGCTGGAGGCTAACCGCGAAAGACCCCCCCAACCAAAAAAAAAATGAGGCCGAGCCCGATTTTCAGCACGAGGCAAACGCCTTAAAGTTTTTTGGTGCAAGGGCTCGGGGGAAAGAGGGAAGGGTGTCGAAGCCAAGAATCAAGGCATGACAGGCTTGGTCTCGAAGTTGCTCTCTGTTCAGACTGCTACGACATGGTTCCATCCGGGCCGGCAAAATCCAAGGTAATAGAGGTTTTCACAAAACTAACCTTTCGACAGACCTTGATGGAGCAACCCATCATAAAGGCTGTTCCTTGTTCCGTGGACTCGAACTGTAGTAGGAAACTTACGCTGATGCATTCTGATGGTTCAACATCTGATTGTAAAATCCGTTGATGTGTTGAAGGGAAACCACATGAGCGCCGAGGTTGGAGCCCTCTAACTTTGGCAACCGTTTAGCATGGCTTTTCACACACCTGATAGGCACGAATAGTTGGACCTACCGACATGTCGCCCCAAGTTCGTCCAATCTCGAGTCGCATGAACCCAATGACGTGGGGTAGCTGGATCAAAGACCCCCCAGCAGGGTTGACAACCCCCTTTGTTTGATTTCCTAGGTACCACCAAATGAACACTGAGCTGCAAAATCTGACAACAAAAATATCTTAAGTTTGCTGCCAGTGCTTAAGTAAATTTATCTCGTCTTCATTCTCACCAGCATGGATTCCTGCCCTGAATACTTAGGGCACGTTTCTGGAAAATGACCCTTTCTGTGCTTGAGATGAACCTCGGTCTTGCTGTGCCTGCGGCAAAAGCTACCGATGCTCATGAATCAATCCAGCAGAATGTCTCCCAAAAACGCCCAGGCAAAAATGCGGGATATCCAACGGTACATATAACCGCTATAGCCACCGGAACAAAGATAGAAGGTTCTGCGTGACGCTTCCGTTATGGTCAGCCATGGGATTCACATATTTCTTTGTTCATCATGTTCGTCAGGGGCAAAAATGTTCCAGATGTTCTCAAACGCTGCCACAGAAATTACCTGGCTTTAAAACCCCAGCTCAACTTCCGCTCCCGCTCAGGCTGGAAGGCGAACGACGAACGACAAACAATGAACGACCAACGACCAACGCCGAACGACGAGCGACGAGCGACAAGCAACGAACGAAGCGACGAGCGACGAACGACTCAACAAACGACTCGAGGAACGAACAAAATCCGAACTCGCAAGCTCGAACTCGACTCGTCGCGGGCCTCCAGGCGGTGGTGCACCGGGTAAGCCAGCAGAAACTCCTGCAGCTGTTGCTCTGCCTCCTCAGGAAATCCAGGGTTTTGCAGTTTAGCCGGAGAGGGTTGCGCAAATGGGATATTTGTTTAGCGGATTTCCCCCTGGGTCCGAATTCGAGCCAATCTCCTTGCAAGAGTAAAACTGGTCAATTGTCAGAAAAAAACTCAGTCATATCGGGTGGCCAAGTTAAACTTGGTGAGGCCAGGCAATTCGTAACAAAGCAACAATCCAACTGGGGCCCTGTGGCACAACTCCCGGCGGTGCAACCGGGCCCCGGTCGGGGCCCCGCTGACCGGGGCCGGAAGTGAGATCGCAAATCAAGCCATCTCGGCTTATGAGGTGGGCAAACTCCCCAGCAAACGAGACAAGTCGGCCAATCCTCATAGAAGGCACATCTAAGGTTTGCCATAAGCTATCTAGGGTCACTAACTCTCATTGCAAAGCGCAAACACGCTCGCAGCATGAGAGTCTGCTGCCAGTTTGTGTGCTTTGCTGGGGCTCGAAAAAGCTTTCTCTGCCAAGTTTTCTTTCTACTGTTCTTAATGACCCCGCGAAGCTGTCTAAGGGCTACAAACAGTAGACTATCTGGGTTAGGCTGTTCACTCATTTGCATGATTTTCGTACCAGGCAAAATGATTCAGACACGGCGGCAATCATGCTTTTAGACACTGCACACATCAAGTTTGAAGATTTGATGAACTGTATCATCTGTGCTTTAGCTATTGTTGTCTGCTTCGCCTTCATTTCTTGCTGAAATTGTTTACAAGATCCATAACAGGCAGGGTTAGTGGCTTTGCAACCATGGGCCAACATGTTGCCCACATACTAGCAAATGAAATGGAAAACAAATCCCTGCAGCCCTTAGCTTCCCAGGACAAACTCAAATCAGCAAACAGGAATACAAAAAATGACTGTGGCCATGAGAACAGCAGAATGTGGCAAGTGTCCGTCATGTGTCATGTTGAGGCCCCACACGATCAGTGTCTGTTCGTGAGCCTTTCACTTGGGATCACTGCCAACACGCAAAGGGGGCTGATGCGATTCCACTCAAGCTAGACAGCGCAAAGTTGCGCAGCAGGCGCAGTGCAATCCCAAAGCGCCCCTGGCCTCGCCAGGCTGTGCAACCAGCCACGCAGCATACGCCACCGCTGGAATGCGTGTGACTGTGCGTGCGATCTCAACTGTACAGCGAGTCGCGCGCTCGGCTTGTGGCCTGCATATGGGCCGCTGGGGCCGGCGCCGGCCGGCGCCGGCGTCGCAGGCCGGCGCCGGCGTCGCAGATGGCTGCTGCGCGCGGCAGGTGGGCGGACGCGCGAAACCATCCCCGCAACCCTCCCGCAACCTGTGCGGAACCCGTGGACAGCCCAACACATCCTCCCACAACCCGCGCGAAATTGACCCACGAACCTCTTTGGAACTGGCCGGAGCCGGAGCCGCACCGCAGAACCCTCAGCCCTCGCCGAAGCCTCCCGTGCATCGCCCAACGCAGCCCCGGAACCCGGCACCCTGCGGAACCCCCTTTCCTCAGAGCCGCCCAGACCGCCCAGGCGCCTATCTGGGCTGAGACCCCAAAGCTTTCAGCTGTTGGGGGAAAAAGTCAGACACCCATGTCCTGCTTGGTGCGCTGCTTTCGGCGGATGTCCGAAAGGTCGTTGGTGACCAAAGAGGTGAAGATGCCCCCTGCCATGCGATTCTTGCTGGGAATGACCCAGGGTTTTGGGAATGAACCGGAAGGGGATTCCCTCAAAGGAAACCCGCTGAGAACCAGCAAGTTTCTGCTATGGGAGAAGGTGGTGGGGCTACTCGTTTGAAGCCCAGCTTTGATTCGTTGTGGATTTGGATGTCCTCTGGTTCGAGCGTGGGTTTTTTAGGAAACACCTGCCAATCCTGGCGCACGTTGAACCCATGGGACAAAGCCCATGGTTAAATCTCCCGGCCGTCTTTTCAAGGATCCGAACCCTCCCAGCAAGGTTGGGCGATTCAGCTCTGTGCTTAAACCATGGAAACAACTTTAACCCAAGCGTCATTCAACCTCCATTCAAAAGGGTCAGCGCCTAAAAAAAGGGCCGTTTCGAGGCTTGGGTAGCAATCAGCTGGCATACCCCACCCATAGATACAGTTAGCGCACATTTAAGTTACCAGGAAATGGGTAGACCACAATTGAATTGGGGTCAATGTGCAAAAATGTTGTGTTGCTCACAGGATGGGTGTGTCCCAAAGTAGGGCACCCCAACTTGCGATGAGTTCCTTCAAAATCACCCAAAAAAAAAAAAAGAACACAGCCCCGGACGGTGTTGACCACCTTGTGGTTTTCCTCAGGGAACCGGCTCCAACAAAACATCGCGAGACCAACCCTGCCTAAGACCAAGGCGGCGAAGGTTGCAAATACTGCCAGCACCTTCTCCTTTGGCCCGTTTTGGATCCGACGCCCGGGAGAAAAAGTTGTTGGTTTCTCGTTCTTCCCTTTTTGGGGGTGTTTTTTGGGGCACCTGTTGGGTAGATTCAAAGGAAAACCGAAAGGAAAACCAGGGGGTGGGGGTCTCCGAAAAGACATCTCGTTCTGCTTTTGGTTTCCGCTGTTTGGTCGCGGATGTCTTTCCTCGCAATTTGCCTAGAAGAAATCTCAACATTGCCTGAGGTTCGGGGCTTGCGCTCTGGCCTTGGCTTGGCCCTTCATGAGGAAAAGCGCCAAAAAGGCAAGCAGTTGATAAGCCCAGGTATCCCCAGCCCCTTTCGCACCCTTCCGGATATCCAGGGTCTCCACTCCAGAGCCAGACTTCCTATCGACCCCAAAGCTTTCGGCCTTTTGACGAGTCTGGCGCTGTGGTTTCTTAAGCCTCGCCGGCCAGATTTCTGCAAAAGAATCGGTGTGGGGTGCTTGGAGCTTCCAAGCTTCCAACCCCCTTCGCCGCCTTTGCCCCGTGTTTCCCCTGCGTGCCCTTTCCCACCAATGGAAACACCACAGGTCTCTGGTCTGCGTTCCTTCTTTGACCTTTTTCTCGTGTGCAGAATCAGGTTCTGATCTATATGGCCTCTCCTCTACAGATCAATATGTGTGCTCCTTAGCCTGCATTTGCCCGAATCGAATCGGTTTAGACCTCAAAAAATCGGAATTTGGAAATCCGCTTCATATTTAGTCAATCAGCCTTCAAGGTGTCTCACCCAGTGGTCTCCCGCAAAAAGTGCACTTATTTGGTCAACCTTAAAAACATAGAATATTTTCTGAGGAGACCCCCTTTCACAAGCCAACCCGAAAAGCCCTTAAGGCCAGGCAAGGCGAATTTCAGCCGAATATGGTTGAGGTAGGGATCGTTGGAGTTGCTTTTCAACTCACCAAACAGCTTGGGTGTTTCTTCAACCAACCAGAAAACTTGTTAGCTGTTTGTTCAACTAACCAAACAGATAAGGCCAAATTCGAGGGACCTGAAAAAGGCGTCAACTGGTTACTGCAGAAACGTTGGTTCCTTCAGGCAGCTAGCAAAAACTAGATCTACCCCCCCCCCCCCCTCACCTCCTCCAAATATATATATATATATATATATGAATACCAAGGCCAACCCACGTCCAGGCGCCGGCTGGGTCTTAAGCTTCAAGTTGGTCGCGAGCCGACTGGGATGGAGCCGGCTGAGCCCAAACTCCAGCGCAGCCTCGTACTTCCTGCGGAAAGGAGCTGGAAAACCTAGGGTTGCGGCACCTAGTGTTGGGGGGCCTAGGCTTGGGGGGACTCTTTTGGTACCAAAACGGTTATCAACATGTTGTTTCTCTAAATAGGAGTTCGTTTTGGGGAGAAAGCCAACCACTTGTTGTCCCAAAACTAAACGACCAATGGTTTTATTCCTTTTGGCCATCCATAAACTCCATTCCAGGACTGGACTTGTGGTCCGCCCAGATGGTCGGTCTTAACATGCGAAGATAGGCCTTATCATAACCCCAAAACAAGGGAGTGGAACTCAAACATCGGTGCTGGGAGATGCACACTTCTACCGGACCTTCTGGTGGCAGGAAAACCTACGCCTTTCCCATCCGTTAGAAAAACAACGGCTGGGTCTACCTCAATGCTGGGACCTGAGATGGCAGGGACGACAATAACAACCCAACTACCTGAAGTCCCTAGCCTTGCTTCCTGACTTGGAACCATTGAGTGAGTCCCCTGGTTGCATGGTGCAGGGAAACCTAGTGAGTTCCCCCATGCGCCTTCCAAATATAGACTGGTGATGTTGACCAAACCTATGGCGTTTCTTGTTAACTACGAACGAGGCTCACAAGAAACAAGACCGAAACGCATTCGAGGGTCTGCAGCAGCGAGAAGGACTCCAGGTCGTGGTGGGCCGCCCAGCCCCGCGGGCGAGTGCCCAAGGAGTACCACAAGGCGGTCAGCCAGTGGAGGCAGAGCAGCCCCACGAGCAGCAGCAGCCTTTCGGCTTGGTTTGGAGCCCGGTGGCTTGGTGGGAAACCCCATTTACCTCTACAAGAACCAGGGGGTCAAAGCAAATGACCAATCCAAGCCGCCAAATACGGATTGCCTGAGCCTTTGAACTTCAAAAACATCTCTTAGTTGCCCTTCAGGGACCCAGAAATACAAGGTGATCACCAGTTGGGGCCACTAGAAATGGACCAAAACAAAACCAAAAGGTCAAAAGGTCAGCTTTAAACAAGTGAGACTTGGGGTGGGCCTCTTTTCGGAGTTGGTGCCCCATGTTCAAGGGAAACTAAGAGGGAAAACCAAGATCCATGTTGGGGTCTGAAATCCCAGAAAAAGACACACCCATTTCTAAACCACTGGCATGTTCTGGGAGTGATCTAAATGCTTCGTAACCCTTACAACCAACACAAGAACTTGCAACCATGCCGGTTCTGGATTACGACAATGCTTACCCTTAGCAAATGCGTCCCGAACCATCCAAGTAGTGCTCTGGATAAGTTATCCAAATATTCTGAGGCGTTGACATGTTCGTCGAGTCGTTGAGTCGACTGGAGCGCGTTGGTTTGGGGGAGATAGTCATCCACCCCGCGCAGGTGCAAGGAGTCAAGGAGGGGTCTCCCCACTAGGTTCACGGAAGCATCTTTGTTGGCGGGCTTTTAGGAAAACCGAAAGGAAAACACCATTCTGGGGGTTCGATTCCTGAAGAAAGACAAACCCATGTCTGCCTTGAGCCCCTAGGAAAAGCCTTGGGAATAAGGATGGGCGGAGGTGGGTAGGACTCGAGTCGAGTCACCGCGGTGACTAGAGTCGTGGAGTCACGGACCCGACACCGGTTTTTGTTTTTCAGGGAGGGGGGGGGGGGAATCCTTGTGGGGGGTGGGCGGGTCTGAAGTGGGTGGCTTTGAATGAATTCCTGGGTCTTTCCGTGGAATCGAAAGAGATTTCTCCAACCAAGAAACTTTGTTGGTTCGGGAAAAAAGTAACCGAGCTGTTTCGAATGGTTCCTCTTTTCATCTCCTTGATGTTTGGAAAAACGGCTTTTCCGATCCCACGAATGATCAACTGCCACGTGGGGCGGATGCGTTTGGCCAAGCAGGCAAAAGACGACTCCTCCTTTCCATGAATCTTCCTTCGCGGATGGGCACATGCCCTGGAAATGTATGTGTGTATGTGTGTATATGTGTGTGGCTTCTTTGAAAGAACGACTGCTGAACACGAAACCTGGGGCTTGGCCCAGACTTTGCTCGCATGCAACATGTATGGCTGTTGGAGGGAACATGAAGGAAGCTAGAGTGCTTACAGGTTGATCTCCCTCCCTCCGATTTCCCATTTAAAAGCCACCCAAATCCAGCTTCCGCAATGGCCACGTCAACCGAATCGGGCGGTTTCCCGTGAGGCCTAGTCCCGTGTGACTTCCCCGGAACTCTTCCCTGCCAAAGGTCTTCCCTGCCTTCGGGTATGTCTGTACAAAAATTGCAGATATGTCCAGTGATAGATTCCATATAAAACTCACCCGGCACTAACAAAGATGCCTTTTTTCTGATGTGCGGCAAATGGAAGCTGGGTGAACTTCCCCCTTTCAATGCGACAAAAAACAGCCCCCCTTTCAGAAAGATCGAGTGGAGTGGCCCAAACAAGGTCAAAACTTGCTGTTTGCCACCAAAAAAGAGACCTGGACTTGGCCTTCCAAAATCAAACAACCCCCTGAATGGGGAGGTGTGAGCCCCGGACAAGATTGCGAAGGTTCCCTATGAGGAACTGGGAAATTCGTGGCCCGCCCCAGAACTTTGGGGCCCTCAGGAATTGTGTCAGTTGTCCAAAGGGACCGGTGGGAATCGATCCGAACATTCCAAGGAACCAAATATCGAGAAAATCGGACCCGATTGGACTTGCCCCCACCCATCTGAGAGGAAATAAAGAAACGGGTTGATTCATCTGGGAACCGACATCTGAAATCAACCTGGCGGATTAATTGGGCGGTGCATTGCAAAACTCTGATGCATGTGCCTTTTAAATGGCACGCCCCCTCATTAATCTTTACCGGGGGTTATTGATCCAGGTCGACATTAGCCATACGAGCGCTTCTTGCAATCCCAAAAACATGTTGCTTTCCTTTTGGCTTACCACGTGCTGCACCCCAAAGCACCGCCATTTGCAAGCAACCATTCGGTCCTTCGGTCCTCTTCCCCTTGAAGCCAAGAAAGGGACAGGAATTCACCCCGGAAGTTTCTGTTCGAGGTGCAGGATGTTCCACATCGCGCTCACCTCTCGGCTGCATTGGCAGAGGCACGCCTTCACCCGCCTGCCACCAAGCGAAAGACTCAACCCTCTAAGATGGCTTCCACTACCCCCAAACCACCTTGAAGGGTTTAATGGTTGCTCGGTGGGCAAAAGGTCTAACCTTTTGCAGGTCTAAGGGCCAAAGCCATGACAAAGGGCATAAAACCCATTTTCCGGTGGTTTGCGGGTGGGACCTACCAGTGCTTCGGTTTTCAAGCCAGGAAACCGAAGCTCCCAAACTTTCCGGGCTCCTCACTTCGGTGAGAAAAAGAAACACCAAAAATAGAATCCATAGTGAGGAACTCCAAAGTAAACACGGCTGGTGTGAAATCAAAAAAAATGAAAGGTTTCCGTCGCAGGGTCGAGCAGAAAGGCATACCCTGATTGAACAACCCCGTTTGAAACACATCTTGAGTCGCGATTCCAACCATCCAAAGGAACTAAAGGCATGCGTTGAACGGCAAGAAGCTAAGCCAAGCTTGACTTTCCATTCCTTCGTGGGTTAACAAAGATTACGACTCCTTCTCAGTTATTGCCCACGAAAAAAGTCGCTCTTTTGGATTCAGGCCTTCTTCACATTGAGTAAAACCCTTAGCTTCTTTGGAAGTGGATCCCAGCTATTCTGGTGTAAGGCACTACCGCGTCCAGATACGAATGAAAAGGGCGCCCATCCATGTGGACTTTGGTTAAGGGCACCTTAGGCAAATGCCGAACCGATCCTAGGACACTCACCTCCGAAAGTGATGGTCGATTCAGCGACTAGAGTCAGTAACAATCAATGGGTAGAGTTAGCAAATATAGTTGAGGACTATACTACAAGAAGGGCAATCGAAATCAACTGAGGGCCCCGGAACATCAAGAGCTACCCCAGAAATTTAAAAAAACAAAATATATATTTAAAAAAAAAAAAAAAAAGTACTTTTGGCTGAACAGGTGCAAGCCCCTTTTTACAGTCTGTTTCGGGGAACAGCTGCAAAAAGAGCGGTTAATCACAAAGCGTTTCTTGTTGAGGAATCCATCTTCATGTGTGTCCTCCTGAACCTGCCCGAAGCCCTTTTGGGCATTTTAGGGTTGTCGCATTCCCGAAATGGGGTTCCCCCCCCCCCCCGCGCTTTGCCTTTGGTCTCATGAGCCGCGAAAACAGGAGAAAAACATCCTCGCATTCCAAGCCGAACCCCTTGTTGTTGGAAACGGATTGGGAGGGAAAGGGCATGAGAAAAGGTACCGACTCAACGCTCTCAAGCTGCCACCTGTCCACCAAAGGGGAGAAAACGCCTTGCGCAACCAAAATATGGAAAAAGTGGTCGAGTAACCTGCGGTTGGGAATAATGAATATGGACCCAACCCCGAAGTACGCCAAAAGTGTGTGCTGTTTTGTTTCTTCTGATTATGTCTCATACTTGGCCATTCTCTAAAGCCGACATTCCCAGTCCAGGGAAACTAGCCTCCAATCGGACGACAAAGTAAGGTCTAAAACCCCCGAAAAAAAAGTAGTCACCTTCACGCCAATGGGTGGTTTGAGTTGGTCGCTTGGAAATTTGAGCTCCCTTTTCTTAGAACCAAATAAGGAGGTACCCAGGCACCCCCGAACCTCCAACAAGCCAAACCACCAATTAGGAAGCTGAAAAAATCTAGGGACCAAACTTCCCGTCCTTGCAAATTCTCGTTCCCCTGTCCCAACCAAATCGCCTGGTCGCGGTGATCTTTCGCAGATACTTGGGCAGCAGCAATGCACGCAGGGCCTGCGGACCTGGAGTCCGTTGTTTTGCGGGCGTCCCCTCACGGAGGGTGGGTTTTGGAAACCCATGGAGTATACAAATGTCAGCCCCAAATGTGCAATTTAGGCGGACTGAGATTCAAAAATATGCAGGCAATGCACATGTATTGCTGTGGATCTTGTATGTTGTGCCCAAAACTGATTGTCTGTTGCAAGCATGCGTTATCAAACAGTTTGACCTTGTATGTTGTGCCCAAAACTGCTTGTCTGTTGCAAGCATGCACTACTATCAAACAGTATTGAAAAAAACGCCCGGGTGGCTGCGATTCTCTTAGCATCCTTCTGTTCATCCCTGTTGCACAGATTGGCATTAGAGCTGAATTAGGGTTCAAATAGAAAGTTGTATGGAAAGACAAGCTGGTCGTTCCTTCTATTTGCCTACCCCTTAAAGGAGGACTAGCCACTAGCAAGTGAAGGGAAACCCAGTTTCAGTTCTGTTGGTACTGCAAGGCTTTAAGTTTGAATCATATGGTAATTAGGTTTCAAGTTAAAACAGTATGTTGAATTCAAGATTCAATCAGTGTTCCTTTCCAAGTAGGATTTACTTCGGAATCTGGTAAGGAAAGAGAAGCTTGTTGCGCCTTCTAGTTTGCAAGCGGGGTAAACAAAAAACAAGGAAACCTGACTGCAGTACGATGTGGCTGCAAGAATTGCATTGCAAGGCTTTACATTTAACCCTCACTTCGGCTAGAACTCAGTTCATGCTCTGGTTTAGATATGAAGTCAAGCAGTTAAAAATGAACACAGCAGTTTATTGCCAATGTATGTGTTAATTGAAGTCTTGTCCAAATATGTTTCAATGAGAATTGAGTATAATGTGTCATCGTTAAATACATTCTAAGCAGGAATTCCTTGCAAATCAAAGTGGAATGTCCTTTCCAAATAGGATGTGGTTTGTGCGTTTAAGTAGAACTACCTCAGTCGAAACTTCATTACCAGCATAGTCGGCAAAAGGCGGTGGCGCAAGTTTTAAAAATATATAAAATATAGTTGTTTTCTCTTTCTTTTCTTGAATAGGTTTCTCTTCTTCCTTTTCAGTGTTTCTTTTTCTTTCACCGTCATTCTTGCTTTAATCCTTTCTTTCTTTCCTTCCTTCCACCCTGCTTTCCTCCTTTCTTTCTTTTGTTTCTTTTCTTTCCTTGCTTTCCCTCTTTCTTTTGCTTGTTCTTGAGCTGTTATTTCTTTTGTCTCTTCTCTATCTATCTCGCTATCTATCTATCTATCTATCTATCTATATACCTACCTATCTAGCCATCTATGTTTCTCTCTCTTTCTTCCCCATCACTCTATCTATCTCTCTATCTCCCTATCTCTCTATCTCTCGTATCTCTCTATCTATCTATCTATCTATCTATCTATCTATCTATCTATCTATCGCTCTATGTACCTATCTATCGATCTGTCGATCTATCTATCCATTTAGCTATTTGTCTATCTACCCATCTATCTGTATCTAGTGTTATCCAGCTATCTAGTATCTCTTCATCCTCTCTATCTGTACCACTATCTATCTACCTACCTACCTATCTACCTACCTATGTCTTTGTTTGTCTCCATCTATATGTCAGTCTATATCTCTATCTGTCTATCCATCCAGTATCTATCTATCTTTCTCTCTATCTTTCTATCTTTCTATGTATCTCTCTCTCTCTCTCTCTCTTATTGTAGCTATCTCTCTAGCTATCTATCCTTTGGTCTATCTATTTGTTTACCATCTATCTACCTATGAATCTATTTGTCTGTTTTGGTAAACTGTCGATCCCTCCATCTATCTATCTATCTGTCTGTCTGTCTATCTATCTATCGATCTATCTGCCTATCTATGTGTTCTATGTTTTTTTCTGCAAATCTTCTTTCCATCTTTCTATCTATCCAATTTATTCTCTATCTCTCTATCCGTCTATCTATCTTTCTGTTGATCTTTCTATCTACCTACCTATCTATCTATCTAGCTAACTATCTGTCTACATATATCTTTCTACCTCGCTATCTGCGCCCAACCTTTCGCAATATCTTGCGCCTGCGACAGTGCTTGAAATTTGTACTTGACCTTACAAAAGCCTTGCGAAAGTGCAAAAATGCTGCGCCTGCCACGCAACTCAAATCTCGTTGCCATTCCAATGGGCCCGACGCCGAACCCGCTCCGACTCCGTCCGAGCATGCTCCGAGCCCGCTCTGACCAGACGCCGCGAACAGGCTATCTTTCAGCTCCCCACAAACCCTCCACACCCTCGCGCTATTTTGTCTCGCGCGTCTATTCCTTCTCTTGTCACTATCTCAGAGGCTAGCTTTCAATTAGTTGCCGCAACACTGAAGTTCCTTCTAAACTTCCTCTGATAGCTTACACAACTAGGATCTAGCAAGGAAAGACAAGCTGGTTGCTTCTGCAAAGTGAATCGAATAAAAACTACATTTTTAATCAGATTTTATTGGGGTTTCCTTTCCAAGCATCTAGGTCTGGGAGTTTAAGAAGATTTGGGTTTAATTTACTCTAGATAGAATTTGGCAATGAAAGACAAGCTCGACGTTGCTCCGGTTAAATGAGCAGAATTCGGTTGCGGTTAGCAGGTGCTAAAAACCTCGAGAAAACTCAAACAATCAGACCCTATGTCTCCATTCTGGCTGAAAAAGGATCTGAAATTGTGTTGCGTTTGTTTTCTCAAAAGTGCAGAAAACCTCGCGAAAACCAACAACAAAACAGACCCTACGTAACCATGTTGGCTGAGTTAGGGTCTGACATGTTGCTTTTTGTTGTTGTTTTCTGTTGCTTGGTTTTCTGGAGGTTTTGCAAGCTTGGAAAAACAAAAATCACGAGAAAACAAAACAAAAAATCGATCTGAAGTGTTGTACCGTTTGTTTCTTGAAGATGTGTTCTGTGTTTTGATGAAAGTATCAAAGATACGTACCATCCACCCCCCATGAAGGGCCCTTCTGTTATTTTCTCCGGGCGAAAAATACTTGCTTAACTCTCTATAGAAGCTTAACGTAACGCTGCGCTTTACGTTAGCTCTCCGCCCAAGAACCCGACCCAACGTGCCCAGCCTTTCACACCCAGACTATCGTGCCCAGACTTTACCCAGACCTACCCCACGACTCTGTGCAAGTAGCTCTGCGCTAGTAAGTTTTTGGCAGATGGCTCTGTGCAAGTGGCTCTGCGCAAGTGGCTCTGCGCAAGTGGCTCTTCGCAAATGGCTCTGCGCAAGCTGGTCCAAGGGCTCCAGCGCTTTCGGGCACAAGTAGCAAAAGTCCACAGTTGTTGCACATCAACCACCTGCGCACACACCTCGCAAAGTAGCAAAAA